ATAGGGTTGCCACCTGTCCAGGATTCACCCAGACAGTCCAGGTTTTGAATGCTGTGTGCGGGTTTCATGGCAGCAGAAACCCGGACACAAGATGTCAGGTAGACAGGGGCAACCAAAATTAAAATAGGGGCTACTGGCCCCTACACTGAAAATAGTCTCAAATGTGATATTTACATATGACTAAGCCGTGACTCATTCTCCCAAAAAATGTCTTGCGCATCGCTAGAGTGTTCAGGTTTCGCTTAAAGAAAAGGTGACAACCCTTGTATATATGCTTGTTGTGTGGTTTGGTGGCACTTTAGATATACGGCAGACCTTACACTTTAATATTGTATGCCCAGGCTGGGTATAGCGCTTGTTATACTGAGGCAGATTAAACTTGATAAGGAAATGTAAGCAGCAAAATGAGGATGTTGTAATTGTTGCGTAGGTGTAATATAGGAAACTGAGATCTAGCTACCTGTTCTTGCATAGGGTAGGGTCAGCTAGTCTATATTGGAAAACCCGAATACCCCATCATGCACAGACCAATGCCGCCCGAATACCCCATCATGCACAGACCAATGTCGATTTCGATAACACAGGTCTACAAGGAGAAATCCTCGGAAATAAAGTAGCTACATTTTACCAGAATTGGGTCACTTATAAAGGAATATTAAGTCCTGAGTATGAATTGGCTCCAGTTTCCAAGATACAGCTTCAGGTCAAAATTGCATCAAAATAATTCACAATTGCAAGGGCGACGTGCGATTATTAGGGCTGCAGCTAACGATTATTTTCATAATCGATTAGTTGGCCGATTATTAAGTTCGATTAATCGGTTAATCGGATAAAAAAAAAAGGCTCCAGTGATGGACTACTAGTTTCTATTGCGATTGTAGTCCATCACAGGAGCAAGCTTGGCACGGTGGAAGTAAAAAAAAAGTGTGGTGTGCAATATAGTACATTATACAGCGGCGCAATGCAGAATACCAGCAGCTATAGAGGAATGCAGCAATAGTACATTATACTATAATGTACTATTGCTGGGATTTGTAGTCCTCTGTAGCTGGCGTTATTCTGCATTGCACTGTATATAATGTATTATTGCTGGGATCTGATGTATTCCTCTATAGCTGGCGTTATTCTGACAAATTAATGACCACATGTCCACTTTAAGGGAGATCCCACCATCATACCAATAATGCAACTATAATATTATATATCAAAATTCATATAATTTATTAAACATCTGAAACAACATATTTAAAAGACATATAAAAATATGTATTGCGCAATCCTAACACTCGGCTATACGTAGATAGGATAAATCTTGTAGGTATGGACACCAGAGATGTCCGAATCTGCTAGATCAAACAATGTGTATAGGAGAATATTATCCACAGATTCCTAGTTTCTATTTCTCGATAAACAATCCAAAATATCCTAGGTGGTGAAAATGAAATCCGTGTATAGCAACTACATAAGCCAAGGAGCCTTCCAATATCCTATACATCCAAAGGACTAGGCTCTAGTCCATATCACAACTCCATGAGTGTGAAGTGTTGAATGAATGGCTGGTAAATCCTGGATAATATATAACATAAAGGGGACATGTGATCATTAATTTGATATATTATATGCCACTAACATTATTGTGATTAGAACCCTCCTTCCCCGTGTGTATATGTATACATTATAAATGTATCTTTTTATTGATACCAATAACATAACTTTCCATTCATCTATTGGTTTTTCAGGTAACACTTTCATGCTTTTTGCATGAAAAACTGGCAAGCTCTAACATCAGATTAAACGACAAGGTTCTATCTTTATTCAGTATCTAAAGTGCGCTTTTTGGCTTTTCTCTTGTGAACTGCAGTAGGATCATCCCTGGAGAGATTCTTGAGATCCATGCAAAAATAGCAGTCGCTACTGTGATTGGTGGGTTCCCTCCACACCATTGGGACTGCGAAAGGCGCGGACTTTTTCTTTTAGTTTAGCCAATGACACAGATAAGTTGCACATGTAATGCAACAATAATGAGGGGCCCAACTCTTGTCCTGATCCCCTATTTTGCATCCAAAATATAGGTGGTATGCCTTTTTTACCACTGCCGTCATACTGTACTTTTGAGGTAAAAGTGTAAACTCGCCGCAAATGTAGCAGAAGTTATCTTCGTTGTTTACACAGTTTCGAGGCATCTTGGCTTCTGAGGGAGAATACCACGCAACTGTTCCTTGGAAATGTTACCAAGCCACCAGATGTAACTGTATGATACGTAGATCTGACCAAGACAAATGTACCTTGCAATAAAACAACAATGAATGACAGTTAGGTAATAATCTTTAGTCTCAAAGTGAAGATAAATGTATTCACTTCCATTTCATACCATTTTCATTGTTCTACCGTACTTTGTCGAGAAGTTACGAGGCATCATGATCATCAGACACCTCCCTCCCAAATATACTCGTCTGTGTATAAATCTTTATTGTGAAATATCTTGAAACCTTTAGCCAACCAACCAACACCTTTATCACCTGTTTTCTAATTCCTCTAATCAAAATATGTAAGAATTAACACATTTTATCTCGGAGGTCGATAATTTCCCAAAACCTGTTTTCTAATTCCTCTAATCAAAATATGTAAGAAATAACACATTTTATCTCGGAGGTCGATAATTTCCCAAAATTTGTAGACCAGTGTAATCGTTCATTAGCAATACTAACTCACCGAATTTCGTCGATCGACACAATGGATTTTCCTGTGCGCATGTGCAGTGTTCTAGTTGCAATTGTTTTGGTATGAAAACACCACCAATCCATCGATTTCTGTACGATGCAAAAAACGATGCTTTTCCAGCCTCACCCTTCCAGAAAATTCGGCCAGGATTACAGTAAAAAAGAAATCGCTGGGTTCCCATCAACTGATCGATTATTGTACGAAAGACCATTTGTGGACAATTTTCGAATGATAATCGATAGGTGTATGGGCACCTTTAGACTGGGATGCAGATTTGGACATGACACAGTCATGAGAATCCTGGTACCTGTGCAGTTCCTGGCTGTGTTAAAAAATCAGCCACTGCTGCACACACTCACCTTGTGATTGCTACAAAGTTACTATGTTGTAGTCTTACCACTGGGGTAGAGGAGACTGAGAAAATGCTTCCTCCTGTCTGCAGCAGATTGATGATATCCTGTCAGTTTAGGTAACTTCACTTGCCTGGAGATCAAGCGTGGCCTTTTAATCATAAAAGGTAGAGTTTTGTTCTTACAATTATACTGTTGCTGTATATTGTGACCTGTTAGGAATTGATTAAAGCAGACTTGCTACTGAAAGGTCGACTTTAAATCTTAACCTCTTCTCCTTGCAAGCTTACATATTTGATAGGTGTGGCTTCCATGGCACAGACCAAGTCCAGCATTCACTTCTAGTTGAAAAAAAATCCAGCTGGGACTTATTAGATCTGGAGTCTGGACGGACGGCCAGCTCAAAGGACCGATGTACAAAAACACATCTACACTTAAGAATATGTTTCACTTACAAACCCTGTCGGCATTACAGCAGCCCTAATTTCTAAGATCATTATCACTCAGCGGAAAGTCACACCTTTCGCCCCTTCCCGGCCCTGCAAACACGGTTTTACGATCTGTGGAAACCGGCTTTAACCGCATAGAGGGAAATTTACTAATGTGCTGTTGGAAAAAATGTTTTAGAGGAAGGTGCCAGACTTGACATTGTGTTTATTGAAGTGTACCTGTCGGCTATTCACATTCAAGGCGCCATCACGTAGACTGCACAGATCTTCAGTTCTGGAAGAAGGGCACATTGAGCTGGAAACCGAGTGCCAAAAGGAGTAGTAAAACTGAGCAAGGGGCCGCATTAGTTGTGTATACACACGGTACTGGATGCAGTCATGTCTCCATAGCCAAATTCTCTATATATTTTATTGATTTGGATACACAGAACATACAAGCAGCTGGTTTTAAAAGATGTCTACACCCAAGAACAAAAATTTAATATATTTAAGATTAAAATGCCTTAGCTGTAACTGTAATGTCCTCCTTATATTGTAAAGCACTACGCAAACTGTTGGCATTATATAAATTATGTATAATAATAGTAATAATAATGTGGTGGCTGCATTAGTTTCCTTTTTTTAGACTTGCCAGAAATGCAGTGCCTTC